ACCAAACTCCAGACAAAAAATCCCTTCGCTCTGGATAAATTATGTTACATTACTAGTCTGAAAAACCTGTTTGTTTAGATTTTCTTTAAGGAAGGTGGCCATCTTGCAGATACCACCAGCTTCCAAACCAGCTCTGAAATCCTTCACTCCCAATGGAGAAGAGTCAGACAAGCAACAGTGCATAATGAACAGCTCTTTAGCTTCTAGGATCAGTCCTAGATAGGCCACCCTATAAGGAATTGCTGCTTTCGGCATTCCATTAAGCGCTTGGTCTAATTGCTCCCTCCTGGCACCTGAATAAACTTCTGTGGACAAAACCAAAACCAGGCTGAGCCCCAACCACAAGGGATTCCTGCACCCAGCTGAAGACCTCTGGGCCCAGTGAACTGGGGCTGTCACAGCTCTCACCACGGGAACACTTCTGGCCCCAGTGCATTCTGCCTACAGCTTTCGCTCCACGCCTGCTCCTTTCAGAGGTATTCTCAGAAACCCAGATCTTCCTGCGTCACAGCAGGAAGTGATTTGTCATGGTTATTCCCTGAAGAACTTCATTTTCTGGTAGTGGAGAACGGTAGGAACAGGCAGAGAGCAACTGAGTTTGAGTCTCACTAGGCAAATTACTGGTCTGACGTTTAAGCCTAGGTACTCAGAATTAACCATAAAAATCAGTTTAACTCAGAAGTTGCCTTCTCAATTTGCCAAACAGGAGAAACGCTATGATCCAGGCAGCTCCTCACCCACATCTGACAGTACCCAAGACTTCAAAAACAAAGTGAAAAACAAAGAAAATTCACAACGTGTAATCAAAGAAGAGATTCTTCTGAAGGCTTACCTCGAGCTGGGACATTGACTTTTTTGTTTTCCCCTGTCCTCTCTCTCTTACCTTGCCATTTTCACACAAGAATTCCCAAAGACAAGTCCTAAAGAATACAGCACATCACAGAATATGCCTAGGGTTCCCTGGTGTCCTTCTGGCTTCCTTGGCTTCCAGATGGCAGGCCACGCTCACAGGCAATCTAGCCAATAATATGGAATCATACAGCTGTTTTTAACTGAATCAGTAACTATTTTCAAGTGGCTCTGTGGGAATTTTGTCGTATGGTTGTTGTTTTTTTTTCTTTTAAACTAATGATGTAAGTGGAGAAATGAGGCCATGTCTGGTGACACTGTAGTCTGACTCTAAACTATCAAAACCACAGTGGCCAGAGGCGGGACTTTCCCTCGATGCTTTAATTCACCACAGTTAAGTACAGCAGAAGATACAGCGCCCGATTCCCTCTGCAAGCAGTTGTGTACTGCAGAAGCTGTACTCATTCACTCACACTCAGAGCACGCCGCACAGCACATGTCCCCTTTATCTGTTAGGTTTCAGTTCACTTCTTCATGTACTTTTGGGCTGCCACTTACCCTCATTTACTAGAACATTGCTGTTCTCTGGCTTGGTTGCCTTCATTAACAAAGATAACCTTACGAAGATGAAAAAGAAAATAGGGAAGAATATTCCACTACTCTATCTTTGGAAGTAGGACTGCTGAGCATCATGCACTGTGAGCAGCTTCAGGAAGAGTAGATAAGGATTACTTTATCACAAAGGCACCCAAGATACTCATCCTACGGTATTGTGAAGCTGCAGGGGTTTTTCTGAGGAGCCTGCGTTGCAGCAAACAGTCCTTCACTTGAGTACTGTCCTCAAGCCTGGTCAGCCGTGCACTAACAGCTGTCAGGAGACCACACTTCTGATGTAGATCATCTGGAAAGATCTGGTCTTGCTCTAGCACAAGGGAATGGGACTTTCCTGTTTAAAATGTAATTGCTTTACTGTATTTTCTGAAAATATTTAAATGCCCTCACTGAAATTGTCTTTAGCTTGGTTAAACACAAGCAGGCTATTAGAGCTGCTACATCTACATCAGTGTCTGCCCACTGTTCTACTTCAATTCTAGAGTCAGCTCATCTGTATAGTCCAAATCAAGCTGCTGAAGAACAAAACGGCACTAGGAACACCAGAAAAAGGCAACACAGCTTTATTTATTTTGAAGTTTCCCATTCATCACCATCTTTTCCATACACATATGACATTTTACCCTGGACTGTTCTGATACTTCATCAATTAATTCTTTACTAACACAGTGCAGTTCACAAAGAATACATTTCTGGCACTCAGCGGTTAGTGCCTCTCAGCAATGGACTGGCCTCCTGAGTTAATCTTACCTCAAAGGTCTGTGTAAAACCCTCAGCTTTTTTAATGTTATTGTTATTTTCAGGGAACATCTCTTTGCTGGATGCAGCCGCTGCAGTGAAACAAGGGCTATCCCAGAGAGCAGAGATCTTAACGTGTTTATGAGCAGCTAAGCTGTGGTACTGAAATCACTGAGGGAAGAACTGCCACAGCCCTGGTGCCAACATCTCCATGAGCACAGGAGATGGAGATGGGGTTCAGTAAATGAAGGGTGAAGTGCGGGTCTCGACTTGGGACAGGGAGCAGGGGTCCTGCTGGGGAGGACGATGGTAGGTTGGTGATTATGAAAGCACGCGACCAAAGGCTACACAGGAGAAATTAGAGGCATGTCTTCCTATAGGCATGAAACAGCACGTCTGTAGTGACCACTGTCTCATGATCCACCCTTGGCTCCAGCAATGATAACAATGACTGCTGCTTATGCCCACGGTTGCTATTGCTGCTACCAGCGCGACATAAACCTGGGAACCCCTGGCACAGGTTACAACCACAGGCTGAATTCCCCTTTGATACTACTTGAGCCAACGTGAGTTCTCAGAAAATGTTGCTACATGTCTCCATGACGCACTGCTAAACAAGCACCTCTTATTTTGTACTGCCTTCAATATAGCAGTGATTTCCGTGTATGGTCCCATATGCAGTGCTCTGCAACAGGGTGACTTGGAGCTGGGTAACTTGGCAACACCAGTGTCCTTGGAGAAAGCTATATGCTTTTCTAGCCATATGTGAAACAACAGTACCCTACTCAGGGCTGTTTCTGGCCATCAGAAATCACTATGCAACAAAAACGCCACAATGAATGCCTTTGTCTGTGTCTCAACCTCTCTTATCTAGGATAAAACAAGCAACTCTGTGCCAAAGCCTTAAAACAGCCAGCACCCCCAGCTCTGAGGCTCTGAAGGCAGCCTGGACTTAGCAGGCAACCACCGTGGAGGTCAGGTTAGCTGGCTGACACAGGATATTACCCAGTGCTATCGGCGTGAAAGACTTGAAGGGCTGTTTTCACCACTGCTTTGGCTCATCACAACATCACAAGGCATGTTCCCTTTCCCCTCACCTGCCACGAGGTACTTGCAGATCACAGAGGTCTCCGGGAATGAAACGCTACCGACAGTAACAGGGAATTCTGTGCTATTGCCAGAGCAAAAACCAGTCAGTGGGGAGAACTTGTGCTGGATCCCTGACCCTTCATCCAGGGGAAAGGCAACTGGCTTCAACGCCACGTTAGGCTCCCTTCAGAGGGTGCAGAGGGAACTTCAGCTTTGCAGTCTGCAAGCAGTCATGGAGGAGGTGGGATGAACACACTGCTGGCAATGGAAAGAGCTTTTGCCCTTCTTTCTGAAGCATGTCTTGTTCTCTTCCGAGAAACCAGGTCTGATGAGTTCAGCTGCATAGTCTCCTACCTAACCAAGCCTTCAGAAAGGAGAAGTCAGGGAAGAAAAAGCCATCTATAGAAAAGGTGGGTTTGATGGGAACTTACTGAGCTGCAGCACGTAGCCTTGATGAGATGTGATTATTTCTGCTCTGGCTGTACTTTTGGCATTCAGCAAGGATAGCAATGGTCCTTTCTTCTTAAAATTAGTTAATGTTAAATAAGTTTTAACCTGAAATGTCTAAATTCCGAGAGGAGGAGGAACGCTCACTAGCCAATCCTGAGAAGTCACCTGGAGCCAGAAGGCCCATTTCTTCAGCTTGTCACACACAAATCCATCCAGGTCACATGGAGTTCTGCAGTCTCAAGAGCTCAAGCTTCTTAACTTCCTATCATGAGATATTTATGCCACTTTTATAAGCTACAAGCTACTCAAGACTGCCTGACTATTACAGCTTAAATGTATAAACGACATTCTCAAGAGAACATGCTATCATTTTTATTTTTTTTTTAACCCACACACATGCACACACGATTTGTTAAAACCTGAGAGCTTTTTGAGAATCAAGGGGAAACGTGTTCACTAAAAGATTTACTAAATGTAGAAAAAATAATAATAATAATAATAAATAAAGAATAACAGCCAAACACAGAGATATGCTCAAAGTTTTTGGAGATACAATTAGCTTTCACTTGGATTGTTGTTTTAGGATTGTTTTGTTGGGTTTTTTTTTGCTCCTTGATGCTAACTGCTGTCTCCTCAGCCAGCTGAACACAATCAGCTGCTGTTCAACGGAAGTTACTCTATAGCAACAGTATTTCATAGATCTTGTGACGCTTTGCCGGAACCTCAAGTTCTCCTGTGCACAGACATATGCTTTGAAAAGAACAGCTGCACTTTATCCACATCTCTTTACTTCACTGTCATGCCAACAAGAAAAAACTTGAAGGGAAGCACGTTCACTAAACCCGCTACGACAAACACAGACACAGAACAAAGCAAGAGACAGCAGCCAAAGCCAAGTCCTCCAGCACACAGAGTAAGGGACAAGAGAGCCCTGGGCATCCCCACCATCCTACCCTGCGTGACACTCGGATATTTTTAGGGCACTCCGTAGAGTCTCCTTCCAGCCAGCCCCCGTGCAGGGCCAGGACTGGCACAGGAGCTGTGTATGCACTGCATCACACTGGAAACACTCATCGATCTCCCCCAGCCACAGCTCGCCCCAAGCCTGCAGCCAGTAAGTGCCCCACGGTACTGCTGAGCCCATCAGAAAAGGCACTGAAGGGCACGGCTGAAGAGCCATTCTCATCTCAACACTGCATGTTTCACACTGTTATCACACAGCCCAGACTGCACAATGACAGCCAAGCATGGGAGTGACTTACCTCGAGTGAAGTCCACAGGCCCAGGATGAGACTGCCTTGGCCTGCCCATCACTACAGCTCCCTTCACACCACTGAAACTGTTTTAAAGAAAGCAAAAAATAGGTCATCCATTCTTTGGGAATGTCTTCTTTCAGGAAAAATGCTTCACTTTTTTTTTTTAATTTTTAACTAATTCTGCACAAGACTGATGAGCAGAAGAGCAATCCCTGTGCAGCCACTGTTACTTACATTGACTCAGCTGGAAGGTGACACCCAACGGAACTTTTGAGAACAGGAACTTTCTCAGGGCTAAATAGTGAAAGTAAGGCACATTAAGCCTGACTTGCACCTATGTCAGCACCCAGATTGCTCTACTGGAGGATCCAGTGCCTTCCAGATGTCTAGGTTTATATTCCACGTCTCCACCCAATTTATTCTACCTTTCTGTCAAAGATCAGAGGCAAAGGGTTTGATTCACTTGTTCAGTTAATCGAAAGTTTATTCTTACATTCTTTCTACTCTTTTCTCCTTGTTTGCTGCTGGCTTCTGCATTTTTGTGGAGCTCCTGAATGGCAGGTATGGATGACTGCCTTGCAGCTTGCTGTATGGCACAGGCAATGGACACTGTGCATTCTGAATGCCAGGACACCTTGCTTCTTCCTCAAGGAGGAAACAGTAAAGCACCTGCTCCTGAGTGAGGCAGCAGCTCCTATCCTTGCAGGAGCTCAGAGGGGACCAGGACATGCTGCTATCCCAAAGGTGAGAACCTTTGACTACTGAAGCATGGAAAAGAAAGCATGTCACTTTTGGAACCAGCCTCTGGCTTGCACTTTCCCCTTCATTGTGGCCCTAAGAGGTCAAACTGCTTGAACAAAGTGAAGAACAACCCCCTCCTTCTCTGAGCTGCGGTCACTGGCACACCAAGACAAGCTGTGTGCTTGCTGCCAGGCTCAGTGAGTGCTTTCTTCACCACAGCGCTGCTGCACACCATGCCCTCCTGGGTACCACAAACGTTCTGTGCACACCATGGCTTCCTGAGCCAACAGAGTCTTGCTGTCTGCTCTCAGGGAGGCTATCAACCTCAAAAAAATAGTAGAGATTTCCTCATCTTCACAAGTTCTACAAGCCTCGCTCTGCTCAGGTGCTTTGCCTTCCTTTGCTTCCCTGATTAATCCTCACCCTACAGATACGACCCTACTGCTCAAACAGAGCTCAGGTTGGCAAGTCAAGCCAGCCACAGGCTGCCTGCCTGCAGGAGTCTTTGGTGGCACAGAGCAGGGGCTACTCACACAGACATGAGGGCAGGAGGGGCTCTGGCTGCAGTCAATTGCTTGCTCCTTGTAGAGGAGTTTTAGCTCTGTGCATCCCAAGGCCACAGAACACACTGCATCCTGCAGCACAGGGAGGCTCTTTCTTGGAAAACAAACACAATGTAAAGCCTCCTGGTTTTATGTCTCAGTGCATCTTTCAAGCTACAAAACAACACCAAATGAGACCAAATGAGAACTGGGATGCTTTCATGAGTGACGGTAAATCAGAGCACTGCTCACACTGCATAACAGAGACTGCCCAAGTTTATGGGGCCACAATATTTAACTTCAGCTAAGGAAATAAGGACCTTAGAATTCCTCATTTAATCACAGATGTCTGAGGTAATATTTGAAACCTGGGACCACACTTCTAAACAAAACACATTTGCCTAAGAAGCCAACAATATCATTTAATGAAAAGAAGCTGCATGCATATATTGCCATTCCACTGCCACAGACTGGAAATGAGTAACTTCTTCACCATACAATCCTTGCAACTGTTTATTTTCTTCTGAAGGGATTTCTCCTTTACCAAAGCTTTCACAGTGGCTGTTTTCCTCCCCTGCTGTAAACTGGATCACTTAACCTCGTACAATTTTTTGTTATTTAAAAATCTGTACCATAGAATCACAGAATGATTTGGGTTGGAAGGGACCTCAAGGATCATGAATCCCACCAACCCTGCCACATGCAGGGCCACCAACCTCCCCACTTAATACTAGACCAAACTGCCCAGGGCCCCATCCAACCTGGCCTTGAACACCTCCAGGGATGGACGGGGCATCCATAGCCTCTCTGGGCAGCTGTTCCAGCACCTCACTGCTCTCACAACAAAGAACTTCCCCTGATACCCAACCCAAATCTTCCCTCCCTCAACTTCAAACCATTTCCCTTTGTCCTGCTGTTATCTACCCTTTCAAAGAGTTGAGCTGTACTGAGCATATTATTTTTTCATACACTCTCTCTCACACTCTCTGTCTCCTACTAGACGAGAAAGAACAAAAATGTTCATCTCAGCTATCTAATAAACATAAATGCCTTCTGCAAGTCTGAATCAGGCTGAGGAAAAGATATTATATACAGATAAACAGAGTGCTGAATGATTTAAGATGCAACAACAGCTAAATGCAACATGGAATGCATCGGTAAAATTACAAATTAGCATTAATGCGCAATCAATTCAACTAAAAAGGGAAGACAACGTTGCTGTGAAGAACGGCCTTTTTTAGTCAAAATCAATGAGAAATCAATGGTATAGTTTAATGGAAGGGGAAACACTAGGAAAGGAAATATATTCATATTTCAGAGAACTTTGCAATTAACTGCAACACTGAAAATGAATATTAAGTATAATTCTCCACTTCCTCCTTGCTTGCATGAGGACAAACAGTGCTCAAATTTGGAATAAATCAGTGCAAAGTTAATACAGCCCCATTTTGCCAGCACAAAGTTTCATCCTCGTCAGCGCTGTCATGCTAATTAGAACTGATCCATTTGCTTCTTCCTTGTGGCATTGTGCCTTTCTGCTACCCTGCCAGTGAGGAAAGGAGTGAAAAAATCAGTGAAAAAATAATTCATATCCACGTCAAGACATCTGTTCTCTGCCAGACAGTTTTGCACTAGTGCAAGCTGGGCCTGTGCCCAAACTGCTGTGGGTGCTCCAGTCAGGAGCAGAACCCAACAGACAGACTTCAGAAACAGAATACTTCCAAATAATTCAACAGTCATGTTTTTGGTGTCGCTTCAGAGAATAAAACATAGAACCCAAACTACTTGATACTAAACCTAAACCTAGCTGCAGTGTGTTACAGTGTAAATACATCTCGCAGGGATCCTTCTGCTAACATCACTGCAAAGGCCATGAGCAGAACGTGAGCAGCTGCCTCAAAATGAGATGCCTGTCAGCAAACAGGAGGATGGAAACAAGCCTCCACGTGAGCCCATGTGATCAAAAGCAGGTAATCCTTCAAACCCTCTCTGCAGAGATTTTATCCCAGTGGGGCAGTCAGGCCATGAGTCACTTGCCATGAGTCACGCTCCCACCAACTCCTCCCAGCAGCAGGAGGGTTTCAGGTGGAAAATTACGGGTGTGTTGTGGACCAAGGCTGTGAAACAGGTCACCCTGCGTGCTGTGTTTCAGACGCTTCCTACAGGTGTCCATCTGAACGGCTCAAGCACAGCAAAATTATAAGAACTGTGGAAGAGTTCTTAAAATGAGCACTACACCTTTGTGCTAACAGTTAGGCTCTCACAAATATCATTGTGATATGGCATATTTGCAGCTAAACTTCAGTTTTATATTGTCCCTCTTTCTAACCCTGTGAAATGAGAAGCCAATGTCTCACCATTTGCAGGGGTGGTTTAGCATTGCTCCTTCTGGCTAGTGGCAGCACAGAAGAAAAGGTCTAAAGAGTACAATCAACAGGAAGGTCAGTGTAGTTTCTGGTTTGCGTGGGTCCTCTCAGGGCATTGCACAATGTTAGCCTCCTTCAGGTGGATTCCCTCATCAAAGCTTGGCACTACTGCCTTGAATGTGGACTGTTGCATCACACCAGTCTTCTTTCTTCCTCTTTCTGGAATATTCAGCTGCATTTAAATCAAAACTTTGGACAGCAGAATGCAGACACCCTTGCATTCAAATGTCAAAAAGAAATAGCACATTTCATAATCCTAGCTAGAGACGTGGACATTAAGATTTAAATCCACCTCAGTAGGTGAGGCATCACACTGTCTCCAAATGGTCTTCTACAAAGAGCACAGAAGACTGAACCTAGCCAAGAAAGGGGAAAGACAGAGTAATCCCCATTTCCTGCAGACCTTCTTCATTTTACTGATGAATTTTTTCATTGATTTATTTTTTTATTGATTGATTATTATCCTCTAACATGATCTGCCTCATCTTTTCATCTGTTGCATCCACACAATGAAACCACAAGCAGTGATTGAACATTTCTGAGCACGGGACGCCTTCCACATCCAAATTGCCAAGGTTTGCTTATCGGTGCATTGCATTTTACACCAACTTTAATTTAGTTCAAGAACAGGCTCACAACACTTGTTTCTGAACCAACTCACAGGGACATACCGTGTTCTGTCCTACCACGCTCCCCATCTGCCTCACCAAAGGGTATTTATAATTCCCTGGAGCTGGATTACCTTTCACGGAAGGCCGCAAGGTCCAGTCCATCAGGTGCTGGAATTCTGCAGGGCAGGAGCAGCACCGGGCTCCTCATGCCTTGTGGATGATGGCAGAGCTTCTTTTAGTTCTTAACCTTTTCCTTCGAGGCAGTAGGAAACCATGTCAGTGCAAGTGAACACGCTGCACCGGCACGAAGAACAAGCCCGGCTACCAAGCTAATTGTGGAGACAGGAATGGGTGCTAGAAGGGTAGGACGGGAGGTGGGTGCCTTTTTTATTAGACTTGTCCTGATGCCCTAAATGGGCCAGAAGGAGTGAATGTATCCTCTCACATAAAGAGCCATTATGCAGGGATTTCATTTTTCTGATGGAAAAATCTTGACAATCATAAATAGGAGCGTTCGCATGACAGGGAAATTCTAGCAAGGCTTTTCAATGAATCTCCTGCAACAAATTCCAAATTCAACCAGCTTCTTCTATCTAAGCTCATGTGCACGCTGCAGGATTCGCATACTTCACCCCTCATTACCTATGGCCAGACTGAAATCAATGCAGCAAGAGGCTTAAGAACCAGCTCTTAGCAATAACCCTCACCACAGCCACAGGTAAAGAGGAAGACTGAAATGTATTTGGTTTCACTTAAACTGTGA